AAAAAGCAAAACATACAGAAAACAAGAAATGGAAGATCATTTGCTAATAATAACATGTTTGTTGATGTGCTTGATTGAGACAATATACAGTGTACTCTGGATGGAAAAAAAAAAGATGCAAAGAGTTTGAATAATGTCTCAGTAAAAATAATGAATAAAAAAAATGTTAAAAAAAAAACCCCACATATTTCTGTACAAGTTGAGTATCCCTTATCTGAAAATCTGAAATCTCAAATACTCCAAAATCTACAACTTTCTGAAAGCTAACATGATGCCACAAGTAGGAAATCCCACACTTGAGTTGTACAAGGTCGCAATCAGAATACAGGTGCACAGCACAGCTTATTCAGTGTCCCCATGGGAGAAAACCCCTCTCAGTTCCGTTCAGCTGTGATACATCTTTTTCGAGGATGCCCAGATTCCGCCAGGCAAGCACACCCATGAAGGGCAATTAAATGGCCCACGTGCCAACCAGGCACACCAACAGGTTCTCCACAGGAGGTAGAGACCTGTGTGCATTACTCACGGTGGTGTTTGCTCATTCTTCACTTTGTGGTATAAATATTGCTGAAAATGTCCAAAATGCCTGCAGATACCCCTATGAGTAACAGTGACAAGAGAAAGGGGAAGCATTTTTGTTTATTCAGAGCACAGGAAGACAGGCTGTTGGAGAAACTCGATAGCAGTGTAAGTGTGAAATGTCTTACAGAAAAACACAGTGTTGAAATGACCATATATGACCTGAAGAAACAGAAGAATAAACTGTTGAATCTCTCAACTGAAAGCAGTGAACATCAGTCAATGAGACAGAAAAACACTGCATAAAACTAAAAGTGAAGCTCTCTTGATGATGTGCTGAGGGATTGGACACATCAGTGTCACAGGGAACACTGGCCATTTAATGGTGAGCTGGTCATGACACGAGCAAGACCTATCACAAAACTGAAGGGAACTGCGACTGTTCAACAGGTTGGTCGCAAAAATGTAAGAGACACGTTACATTTTAAGTTATTTGTGGGGAGGAAGCATCTGCTGATCACAAAGCAGCAGAGAAATTTGTCAATGATTTTGCCAAGGTCATTCCTTATAGAAAATTAATTCAAAATGAATCACGTATTTAAATATAATGTGTAAAATTGCAAACTTTTGGAGAAAACAAAACACTTAACAAAATCTTTGAGACCTAGGAGAAAAAGGTTTTAGACTTAATGTTTAAAGTAAGGAAAGATTCATAAAAGAAAAAAACTAATAAATAAATTGGACCTTTCAAAATTAAAAAGGTTTTCTCTGTGAAAGACCCTGTTAAAAGGATGAAAAAGCAATCTGTAGGAATTGAAGAAAATATTTACACCCAATATTCAACAAAAAGCTTTTATCTAAGTGATATAAGGAACTAGCCAGGGAGCCAGCAGATGGTGTGGTGGTTAAGACACTGGACACCCACTTGGCTAACTGCAATTCGAGCTCCAGATCTCACGGTTTGAAACTCACACTGGGTGCATGTGCATGTGTGCCCCAAATTCCAAGAGACAAATGGAGGAGAAGACATTGCAGTGTGGCTATCCCCCCAGGGGGTGATTTCTCACTTTCTCTCTCTCTGTCTCTGGCAAATACATGTACCCTATAACAAAAATCTCTCTAAAAGAGAGAGAGAGAGAGAGAGAGAGAGAGAGAGAGAGAGAAAAGAGCTAGCAAGACACAACAGTAAAAATAGATACAATCCAATTAGCAAATGAGCAAAAGACAGGAGCAAATCATTTCCAAGGTTATCTACATATAAAAAATACATAACAAGTGAAAAGATTGTCAACAACATTAGAAAACTGTAAGTTAAAGCAACAATGAGATATCACTACATATCTATCAGAATGGTTAAAATGAAAAATGACAATACGAAATCTTGGCAAGGGTAGAGAAACTGGATCACTTTGTCATTGCTGATGGGAATGAGAAGTACTAATCACCCTGAAAACAGAACTAAGCACATGTATACCTAAGACCCAACAATCACACTCTTGAGCATTTATCTCAGTGAAATGCAAGCTTGTGAGTGCTGAAACTCTGCGCCTGAATGTTCATAGCAGCTTAGTTCATAATAGCCCAAACCTGGAAACCACCCAAATGCCCTTCAATGAATGAATGGTTAAAACATTTGTGGTACTCCAAGACCGTGAAATATTACTCAGAAAATAGAGATTATTGCTATGCACAAAGATGGAGCTTAAGGGATGTACTGAGTGAAAAAGAAATCACCCTACGAAGTTACATACTTTATGATTCCATTTACATAACATTCTCATTATAGCGCAGTTAAAGATTAGTGGTCAACCCCAGGGACTGAGAGTTGTGGGAGGTCCATGTGACTTTAAACAGGTCTTGCTTAGTTTCACAAAGCCCTCCGGTGGGGACAGTTCCCTATAAGAATTATTGTGGTGTCTGGTCACCTGACACATGAGATATAATTATATAGAACTACACACACACACACTCGCACACACACGTGTGCACTTGCGTTTGTAAAACTTGGGAAATAAGGATGAGCTTTGTGGATGGTACCAGTATCAGTTTCTTGGTTTTGATAGAGTACCACTGTGATGCAAGATGTTAGCACAGAGAGCATTATTTCACAATTTCCTGTGAATCTAGTCATTTCAGTATAAAAATTCAAGTAGTAATTATTATAAACCTTTTTGATTATTTATATTTTGGGATGAATTTTAAAATGATTCTATGTACTTTATACAACATGATTTTTTCTGGGTAGATTAAATATTAACTCTGGGGGGCCATCAGGTGTGTCGTGGTTAAGGTACTGGACTCCCACATGGCCAAACATAGTTTGAGTCCTAGATATGGCAGCTTGAAACTCACACTAGGCACATGTGCATGCATACCCAAAACTCAAGAGGAAAGAATGAAGGAGAAGGGATTGTGGCAGGGGCATCCCCCCAGGGGATGATTTCTCACTTTTTTCTCACTGTCTCTCTCTGTCTCTCTGGTGAGCACAAGCACCCTATGGGGAATATATATATGTGTGTGTGTGTGTGTATGTGTGTGTGTGTGTGTGTGTAGGGGGGGGAAGAGAGAGAGAATAGAGATTATAGCTATACACAACAATAAACCCTAAACCATAGTCACTTCTATCTTTCCATTGGTAAGCTATTTTTGGTAGGAGAGAGAATTAGAAAGCATTAATCAAGAAAGTATTGTGGTAAATTGTTTTTGCTAGCTGCTTTTGACTGCCATTTAATCAGAGGACTTCGTTGCTCAACTTTTTGAACTTAGTCCTGAGTTTGAAGGTCGAGCAATAATTAGGCATATTTTATATAATGAATACTTAGAGAGGGGGTCTTTAATAAGTTCATGGAAGGGACCAGCAGTTAGCGTAATTGCTATGTCACTGGACTCCCATGTAGTCAACTGCAGTTTGCGTCCCGGACCCAGTGGCTTAAAACTCACAACGGGCACGTGTGCGTGCGTGCCCAAGATCCCAAGAGGAGAATGGAGGAGAGGGGATTGCGGCATGGCCATCCCCCCTGGGGGGTGATTTCTCGCTTTCTGTCTCTCAGTCTCTGTCTGTCTGGCAAACACACGTGGCCTATAGCAAAACCTCTCCAAAAAAAAAAATGTTCATGGAAAATATATGTTATGAAAATTTTTTGCATAGATGTCACTTTTTTCTGCACCAAAATAAACTCATACTTTAATTCCACAAACTTTTCAAGACTCTTTGTGAATTTAAATCCTGGTCATGAACATCTCTGAATTCCTATGTGAGGTAGCACCCATGCAGAATGCTAGCATCCCATATGCCTGACACTGTGCTAGGCAATTTATAAATGTTTATTTAATCCTAATAGTAGCCCTATGAGTTATTCCTATTGAAAGATGAAGAGACTGAAGCACAGGGTAGTTGAGTGGTTTGCTCAATATTATGGTATTAGTAGGAAATAGAGTTAGGACACCACTGCAGGGAGTGGGCTCTAGAAAGTGCCTTTGTTAATTTATTTAAATGGATATAAATACAACATCCAAAGTCCCAGGCAATGAGGCAAACTAATTCAGGCTGCTATTTCTTCCTACATACTTAATCCTCAAGTTCCCACAAAAGCAAGGGAGTTTCGATTGAAAACTTTGAGGTTTCTGGATGAACCAAAGACAACTGAGTCTCAGTTTTGGAGGAAAAAACTGCCCATGAATGGATTCTGTTCTCTTCACTTTGGAGGAGGTGAAGATGAGACCTGTCTCTTCTGAGTCATTTTCTTCATCTCTTTGCACATTGATAGCTTAGGAGATGACAGCAGAAACAATTTCCTTGCACAGGGCCTGGGATGTAGTAGCAGTTCAATAAATATTTAATGAATAAAAGGAGATATTGGGAAAGGAATGTGATGAGAACAAAACTGGTGACACAGGTGGCTTGCCTAGAGTCCCTGAGGCACATTCTGATTGTGATGGGTTTTGGCAGCTGAGCATTAAGCTGAGCATCCTTAATGAGGCACCACCTTGTGGTTGGTCTTCCTCTGATTTCTCCAAGGGTTATTTCTCCTTCACAGCAGAGTAGATTACTTGGGAATCCTGGGAGAGACACACAGGAATAAGGTTCTAAATGAGCAAGAGAAGGAACATGGCAGGGAGGCAGATCTTCCAAGGACTCCAACTTACCTCGTTCTCCAATGTCCTTCTGATGTTTGCTGTGGAGAGAAAAAGTAGAACTGAACTCTGAGATTTTTACTTAGATCTCACTCCCCAAACTTATACCCTAGGCATAGAACTGCAATGCCTGGTGTGAAATTCTGTCTTCTCCTCTTCTTCTGTAATGTCCATCACTTAATGTTTCTCATCTTAGAACTTCTAAGACTCCATCCATCCTCCAGGTCTCGACCAACATTTATTAACCAAACCTTTCCCCTCTCTGATGCCATTTTGATGTGTTATTATTGTTATTATTTCTCCTTCTGGTGTTTTCTGACCATCACGATCTTCTGTCAGGGCTCACTTTCCTGTCATTCTTCTATGTTCCTTAGAAAACCAGACACATGGGGCAAGCAAATGCATGCCAGCAGCATAATTTGACTCCCAGACGCAGCTAAGGATCATGCAGGGTGTGTGTGCAAGCATGCCCAAAATCCCAGGAAGAGAAAGCAGAAGAGAGGATTGTGGTGTGACCATCCCCCCTAGTGGTGATTTTTCACTTCCCCCCTCTCTGTATATCTCTCTGACAAGCACATGTAACCTATAACAAAAAACTAAAAAGAAAAGAATGGAAAGAAGAAAATAAAAATGATAAAGAAAAGAGAAGAGAAGAGAAAAAAGGAAAAAAAAAAGAGAGAAAAGAAAAGGAAAGGAAAAAGAAGAAATAAGAAAAGAAAACCAACCACAGAGTCATCTCACTACATAGAGGACACTGGAGGCACAGATAAGAGAGGGCAGACCCTGAGGTACACAGCAGTTCAAATCTGGCTAAAAAGCTGTTCAGTGATGCCTTTCTCCCTCCCTTCTGGGTGTGCATAATAAGATAGACTTTCCTCCCCTTCCCTAACTGCAGATCAACACTGAAAGGACCTAGAAGATGAACACCCAGGGAAGACAATTGTACCTTTTTTATTGTGCTGGACTGGTCATGGATAGAGAGGACAATGACAGGGTAAGTCAGCTCCACAGGAGGCTGCAGTGGCATAACTCTAAACAAGTCTTGCTGAGAATCCGGGTTCAGAGGTGTGGAGGAGAGTGGCTGGGGGGCCACTGACCACGACATTGGCCTAGCTACCAACAGCCACTGGCTCCATCAAGGTCAGCCAGGAACACAGTCAAAGGGCAGGTTTTAGGGTGGCAGCTTCAAGAGCACTGCAACAGTGGCTCAAAGGACATGACTGCTCTGTGGCACAGCTATTGTTTCAGTTCTTGCAAAGTTACTTCTCAAAGTGAAAATTTCTCTAGATTAGGGCGGTTCACTCAGTGACTCCTCTCATCCCATCTGGACTGCAGGGCCTGAAAAAGACCCTCCAATGACTCTCTTCAATTGAGAAAATCTCCCTGAACTTTAGCTATTATGATTTTAGGTGTTCTTCATCTTGCTGATTTTTTTCCCCTTTGTCTTATAGTTCAGATTCTAAATAGAGATTCGGTGAACCATCTGCCACATTTTTCTTCTTTTTTTGGTCTTTTTAATTTAGCTTTTCTGCAGGAACCTGCTTCTAGGTATCTGTTATTCCCTCTTGGCTCTATGGACTTCGTATCAAGGGCAGGTGACGTATCGACTCCTAGAAGAGTCACTTTCTTGGAACGAGAAGATATCTGACAAGAATCACTTTGCAGTTTCTCACCTGAGACTTCTGGCTGCTGGATGCTCCAGACCTGGGAATAAATCACATCCACATCTATAGAGCCCACTGTGGGGAAGAGACAAGAGTTCACAGATGTCCATGGCCAAAGGTTTACCCTTATACACTTCTTCCCGGTACCCTACTTCACCACTATCCTCCCGTCCCCAACATGATTCCAAGGGAGTCATTAGTTTATTGAGAGTGACTGGGTCTCATGGAATGGGGGGGATAGACCACCTCATGTTCCTTTCTCCTTCTGCTGCTTCCTTCTCTGCCTCAGTCCTCAACTCCCCCCCAGTGGGTAGACTCACCATTGACGTACTCTGACTGCTGCTCTTCTGTGGCTGGAAGTGGGCTGGAGGGTGTGGGTTCTTGAGGGTTTCGGCTGGAAGCAGCTCTGCAAGAAAGTGAAGTAGCTACATGATTGTCTCCAGGGCAGTGAGTAGGAGCAGAGAGGAGAGAGTGGGTAGAAGCCAGGCAGATATATGCCTAGGTGATTTTATGGCCCTGTGTGTAGACGCCCCACTGTGACTGGACAAATATTTCCCGTTCCTCATCTTTTAAAAGTTATAGGACCAGGCGTGGTACAGGGGTAGCACAGTTGGACTCACATGGGTTCTCCTGGGTTCGCATCCCAGGACCTCCTTGAGCATACCAGATGTGCTCAGGCCCATGATCCAGGCCACTAGACTGGGGATGGCATGGAGAATCTGTTAGGGGTTATCTCTCACATGCTCCAAATAAATAGATACACTTTTAGTATATAGTGTATCCATTTATGGATCCAAAGTAATAAATAAGACTATGACCTTGTCCCAGATTAAATTGTTTTTCACTTACAAACTCTCATAGAACTTTACCTGCCTCTTCCTCACTTCTTTATTTCTCTTTCTTATACTCCATATGCATCTGTATCCCCAGTAAGATAGTAGGCCCTTGAGGATATAGACCCCTGCTAGGTAGGTACTTCTTCATTGCACTTCATAGCTAACAAAAACGAACCCATACATCACTCTCAATCATTTTAACTATGCAAATTAGTAAATTAATCTAAACATATCTAATTCTATGCAGGATAACCCCTAGGTGTGGAGCACCCTAAGACCGTGGTGCCCTGATGGTATAAACATAAGGAAGTAGAGACAGGAAGAAGCATTATAGCAGGACACCATGTACATGTGTAGCCTCGATTTCTGGGTACAAACAGAGTAGCGATAGGTGCTTAAAACAGTGAATGAGGGAGAAAGGTAGAAGTGAAATTTTGACTAGGAAGAGTTCTCACCTGAGCGGATTAATGACAAAACTTCTTTCTGAAAAGCAGATAAACATTCATTTCAGGGAAGGGAGCTTTATTTCTTAAAATTATATATGACTTTTCTATATGTAATCAGCTGGTAAGGTTCAAGATACAAAATAGAAATCCAATTGTATTTCTTTTTTTAAAAAAAGAATTATTATTTATTTTCAAATTTTTTTTTCTACAGGGCACACATACTCACCAGAGAGAGACACAGAGAAAGAGGGAGGAGAAGTGAGAAAGCAAGCCAGTGGGTCAAGGTCTGGGACCTGAACCATAGTTGGCCATGTGGGAGTCCAGTACCTTAACCACCATGCCACCTGCTGGCCCCATCCAACTGTATTTCATCCAAATGGTTACTTATGTAGTCCAACAATATTTGTTATTATTGGCTTGTCTGGGAAGTCATGGTGCATTTTTGCATAGAAAAACATGGAAAAATATGTCATGACTTTACCGAGAACCAAACAGCTTAATAAACCATTCGTTTTTCCCTTCTGATCTGAAATGTCACTTTTCAAATGGCAAACCCCACATGCATTTGACATCATTTTTTAGTTTTCCTTTTTTTTAAATTATTTTATTTAACTTTATTTATTTATTTATTTTAATTTGACCAGAGAGGGACAGAATGAGAGAGAGCGAGAGAGAGGAAGAGAAAAAGTGAGAGAGCAAGCCACCAGGTCTGGGACTAGAACGTGGCTGGCATATGGGAGACCAGTGCCCTTGACCACCATCCCATCTGCCAGCCCCTGGTTTTGGATTTTCTATTCTGTTCTGGTTTTGTTTTTGTTTGTTTGTTTGTTTTTTGTCTTTTCACACATCTGTTCAATAAAGTTTTAATTATTTAAAGATATAATGTATTTTAATGATTTAAAGATAGAATGTATTTTAATTATTTAAAGATATAATGTATTTTAATGATTGGTGGCTCTAATCCTACTGAACTACTCATCTTTTCAAGGTTTAAGATGGTCATTCTTTTTTTAATTTTCTTGATTTAATTTTTTTCTTATTTTTTTATTCTTAATTTTTAAGTGTTTTGATACTTGCAACAGCCAGTCTACAGCATGGTCTTGGGGCCAGCATTGGGATTGACATGCATAAGACCCAGAAGGCTATCTCTTGCACCATTCGGCTCTGCAGAGAGATGCAGAACAAGAAATAACATATCAACATGAACATAGAAGCTGTGTCTGCGGAGGGAGTTCTCTTATGTGACCCAGGAGTTATTTTCTGGTTCTCCAACCCCTAGCTCAGGGAACACAGCCACAAGGATGGGTATAGGGTACACCCTGGCTCAAAAACTGGCCCCTTCAGAATCAACATCTCTCACACCACCCATGAGTGCATGAGTGTACCTTCCAGAGGTTGCCACTCCAAGGGACATGCCTACTTTCTGGAGTCACATTGTGCCCAGGGATGCCTCCATTTGTGCTCCCCGCCAAGCATTTATAATTCCGACGAGAGTCTTTCTGGTTTAGTTGCAGTTCATTTGCAGTTTACCAGTCACGAAAACATGCTGCCTGCTATGACAGTCAGTCTTCCAACTTTAACCAGTTTCCCAGAACACAGTGCTAGAAATTTAACTTAGGTTTCCCAAGAAGAAAGAGAAACCTTATAATGTGTTTATTTGGTCTTCAAATACTTTACCAGAATAATAATAGCCTTCAGAATATTTTACCAAGACAAACTGTCATTCAAGCATAAGAAAAGGAGCAGATATTTTTGAAGATGCAAGAATCTAGTGTATACAAATCAAGAAATTTCTTCTTGAAGAAATTACTTTTAAAATAGACTTTATTCCAAAATGATCTATAGTTGACTTATTCTAACTGAAAGAACTCTTAATTAGTTATTAAATATCAACAGTACTGAAACAAATAAAAAATAGACTTTAGCCTATTCTAAGCAACAGTCTCAAATAATATAAAAAATTGTTGATATTTTGGCTACTGAAGAAAACCTCAAAAATATTTACAAAAGTAGGTGTGATACAAATAATAACTGATCACAACATAACTAGTAATTCATAATAAAACCGTGAAAAAATCTAGATATGCCCATAATATAAATTTAAGAGAACTTAAATCTTTTTTTTTTTGAGAGTTTTTTGCTATAGGGTGCATGAGCTCACCAGAAAGACAGAGAGACACAGAGAGACAGAAAGCGAGAAATCACCCACCCCAGGGGGAATAGCCGTGCCGCAATCCCTTCTCCTCCATTCTCCTCTCAGGATCTTAGGCAAGCATGCACATGCTCCTGACATGAGTTTAAGCCACTGGGTCCGGTACTCTAACTGCGATCGACTACACGGGAGTCCAGTGACATAGCCATTAAGCTAACTGCTGGTCCCAAGAGATTTTAATCTTTAGTAATTGAATACATATATAAATATGTAAGAAAAGAAAAGCAAACAAATTAAATATCCAATTTGTCCATAAGAATGAGGCTAACAAAAATAGAAGGCGGCAAGTAACAAAGATAAAAACAAATTTCTAGAATTAACTAGACCGGCAAGTGGTTAAGACACTGGCCTCCTACATGGCTGACCATGGTCTGAGTCCTGGACCTGGTGACTTGAAAAGCACTCTGAGTGCATGTTCGTGTGTGCCCAAAATTCCAGGAGGAGATTAGAGGAGAAGGGACTGGGGTATAGCCATCCCCATTGGGAGATGATTTCTCACTTTCCCTCTGTCTCTCTGGTAAGTGCATAAGCACATGCAACCTATGGCAAAAATCAAAAAAATAAAAAATAATTCTAGAATTCTAAAGCAATACTAGTACCGGAAATCAAGTGAATAAGCCTGAGACTGTAAAAGTACAGGAGTTAGAAGAGGCTCTATCTTTCTTGATAATTACATGTCAAAGAGATGACTCTCAAGTCCTTGAGATAGACATTCCTTGGTTGTAAAACTGGCATGAGGCTGGGAGGACATTTCTATCACAAAGGGGAAGAGGAAGAATTTATAATGGCAAGTTTTCTAAAGTAAATGCTCTAAGAACAGGGAGGGTAGGGGCCTACAGTCAGGCTGAGGAGAACATTAAGGCCATCTTGCTCAGGGGTGGTGGTGCTGATAGTGGACACATGCTTGCAAAGTCTTTTTTTAAAATGCTGTTTTAACATTTTAAAAAATTATTTCCTTTATTTATGACATAGTACATGCACATGCAGGAGAGAGAGAAAGAAGCAGCCTCTACGGGGTGTGGTCATGCTGCAGTCCCCTTCACCAGTCTTCCAGCCTGCTGAATCTTGTCACTTGGATGTGTGACTAGCGTGGTTCAGGATGATTTGGCTGAGGATCTGAACCAGCATCTATTGAGCAGCACGTTACCTCTGCACCACAGAGCCAGCCCACCTCAGGAAGCTTGAGCAGCGAGACTGTGACCATCTACCTAAAGCATGGGCTATTCATCTTCAGGTGGGAGTAAGAGTGCCCGAGTGCTTCATGTGGGCCAGACCTGGGTCCTATGGAGGAGGGAGCCGACTTGGAGCCATTTCAAATCCAGCCAAGAAGACTGCCTGGATGTGTAAGAAGGTTCCAAAGTGAGACGAAGGGAAAAGAGAGTCTAACCTCCCAAGAACTCAGGAGGGTGTTAAGTGTGCAGCTGGAGAAAAGTGAGTCACTTGCGTCACAGGAAGGGCAGTCCGTTGGAGGCGAGGGGGTCTCTGGAGAATCCATAAATAGCCCTATCATAGCCAATTTGCTCATTTGATCAAGTCTGGAGAGTCAAATTTGACAAGCCAGAGGAAATCAATGCTCACCATGAAGGCTCTGAAAAGAGATGCAAGCTGAAGAAAGAGGGAAACACCTGATCAAGGCTCTTTCCATACCTCAGGAGGCTGCCTGGAGAGGGTCTGAGACAAGGGGGGAAGGAGAAGATTCAGCTTAGAAAATTAGCCTTTATTCATTATTACAGATGCCTGAGCACACTCGTGACCAACAAGCACTCAGAGAAATTAGTGTTTGCTATTGCTTTGTTTGTTTAAAACAAATAAAGAGGAAGTGGGTAGACTATGAGCCTGCCTGAAATTTTACCCAGGAACAGGAAAATATAAGCCCTACAAAGTGGGTGTGGATAAGCAATGGGAAGAGGGAGATAAGAATTAAGTTTTGGGATCAGGGAGTGCTGCAGAGGAAGTGTAGCTGGACCCACATGAGAGAGGTTCTGGGACTTTCGTGAGTGCATGGCACCTGTGTGCCCGTAATCTGGGCTTGCCGAGGCTGCATGTGGGCTGTGTTTGAAGACTCTTTTGGAGATGCCTGTCTCTCTCTCTGTCAGAGAAGAAATAAATAAGCTTTTTTTAAGAAAGATTTTTTTATTTTCTTTTTAGAGAGATTTTTGCTATAGGGCACATTTACTCTCCAGAGAGATAGAGAGACAGAAAGTGAGAAATCTTCACACAGCTATGCTACAATCCCATCTTCTTCATTCTCTTCTTGGGCACGCTGGCATGAGTTTACAGCTATGCTGCAATCGCATCTCCTCCATTCTCTTCTTGGGCACGCTGGCATGAGTTTCAAGCCGCTGTGTCTGAGACTTGAACCACAGTCAGCCACATTGGAGTCCAGTGCCTTAACCACTACATCACCTTCTGGCCCCCAAGAATTGAATTTTATGATTGAACTCAAAGAATCCCCTGTTCAATGAGTCAATTATAGCATCAAAAATTAATAAATGCATAAATAACAAACATCTTGGGACGAAACTGAGTAAGAAATGATGAAAGCTGCTATAAATAAGACCTTGAAATATACAATTCAAAATATCTTTAAACAAAAAGATGTAGTCTTGGATAGGAAAATTTCACTTCACAAAGGTGTCTTTTAAAAAATAGAAACTTGGGAAGGAAACAGCAGTTGGCATAATGACTATGTCGCTTGACTCTCATTTAGTCGACAGTGGCTCGAGTCCTGGACCCGGTGGCTTAAACTCACACCAGGTGCGTATGTGTGCATGCTCAAGATCCCGAGAAGAGAATGGAGGAGAAGGGATTGTGGCATGGCCATCCCCCTTGAGGGGTGACTTCTCACATTCTGTCTCTGTCTTTCTGGCAAGCGCACATGCCCTATAACAAAAACCTTTCCAAAAATAAATAAATAAATAAAAATTTGGGCTGGAAGGTAGCATGGTGATTAAGGAGGTGGAGTCCCATATGGCTAACTGTAGTTCAATTCCTGGCCCCAGAATCACACTAGGCATGTGTGTGTGTGTTTATGTGTATGTGTGTACTCAAAGTCCTGAGAGGAGAATGGAGGAAAAGGGATTGCAGCATGGTCATCCCCCATGGGGGGATTTCTCACTTTCCCTCTCTCTATCTCTCAGTGTTGTGTTCTGTCTCTCTCTGGCGAGCACACACCCTTTATGGCAAAAACTTAAAGCAATGATAATAATAATAATAAATAGGACTTTGGGGTAGCTGGTAGAGCAGCTATAATGCAACTGGACCCACATGGGAAGGAACTGGGTTCACATGCTGAGATCTCCCTGGACATGCTGGAGAAACAGGAGAGAACAGTTCAAGCCAGGATGGGCAGCAAAGGCTCGAGGCTCTGTAGTCAGGCAGACATGAATTCCAGTCTTAGCTCTGCCCTCTGCTGGCTGAGAAAACAGCTGACTCCTGAACTGCCTCAAGACTGCTAAATGTAGACAATAACACACACTTAAAGGTAGCTTTTTTACAGTTTTTGTCTTAAAGCCTGTTTTGTCTGATGTCAGTATCATGACTCCAACCTTTTTTTTTTTTATTTCTATTTGTATGGACTATTTTTCCAGCCCTTCACTTTTAGTTTATGTATGTCTTTATCCATGAGGTGCCTTTCTCATAGGCAGCAAAGAGAGGGTTTCTAGGTTTTTTTAATCCATTCAACCAGTCTGTTTTTTGATCGGAGAATTTAATCCATTAACATTCAATGTCATTATCAATATTTGTGGATTTTCCCTTGCCATTTTTTTTTTTTTGGAGAGATTTTCACTGTAGGGCGCGTGCGCTCGCCAGACAGACAGAGAGAGACATAGAGACAGAAAGCGAGAAATCCCCCCCCATGGGGGATGGTCACGCCGCAATCCCTTCTCCTCCATTCTCCTCTCGGGATCTTGGGCACGCACGCACACGTGCCCGGCGTGAGTTTTAAGCCACTGGGTCCGGGACACGAACCGCGGTCGACTACATGGGAGTCCAGCGACATAGCCATTACGCTAACTGCTGGTTCCCCCCTTGCCATTTTGTTAGCCATTTTCTTGGTTGTTTTTCTTCTCTTATTTCTCTCTTTGGTTTTCCTGATACAGTATTCTCTTCAGTACTTATACTCCCTTCAGTAATCACAAATAATAAATGTAAACTTGCCATATGTAGCAGACCTAGTAACTTTTTTTGACTGATGAAATACTAACAGATCAGTATGAGAAATGACTTAGAGGAATTATCTAAATTTTTTTTTTTCCCTAGGATGTGTGTGCTAGCTGGAGAGAGACAGAGACAGTAAGACAAAAAGTGAGAAATCACTCCCCGGAGGTATAGCCACATGGTAATTCCTTCTCTTCCATACTTTTCCTGGAATCTTGGGCACACATGTACACCTGGCATGATTTTCAAGCTATCCGGTCCTGGACTCAAACCACGGTTGGCCATGTAGGAATCCAGTGACATAACCAATGAACCATCTGCCGGCCCCCAAAATTGTTGATCTTTAAAATATGTTACAAAGAGTTACAGTCATGGGACCAGCAGGTGGCATGGTGGTTAAGGGTGCTGGACTCCCACATGGCTGACCATGGTTCAAGTCTCAGACCTGGTGGCTTGCTTTCTCATTTTTTCTCTCTCTCCTCTCTCTCTCTCTCTCTCTCCCCTCCCCCCCCCCCGCCAACTCCAAAA